CAAATTCGTTGTTTATAAGAATTTTTTTATTGTTTTCGAAGTACCTTTTTGAGTGTTTGGTTGATTTTCAATGACTTTTTTGTGTTTTTGGTTTATGTTCCCACTATTTTCTGTTATTTCGGAGCACTTTATAAAGTCTACCAGATACACTATGGAAATAATAAGATGAGATCTGAATTTTTGATCAATTCGTGGTAACTAGAACCATAACTTTTATCTATTCAAATATATTAAGTTGTAGAGATTAAGCACATTTTAGCGTGTAATGTCTTCAAATCTTTTTAAACAAAACCACTGAAGATGTAAAATCGTTTATATTCATGCTTCCCGCTGCATTGCGCTGGTTCACAACTAGTGTGTGGGTGTGTATATGTATATATTAGATGGGGAGATAAAAATTGTTGACCTAATCAAAAACCCATTTTTGTTGATTCAAAACTAGGTTCGACCCTATGTATTAATTACACGCAGTATTTTAAATGAGGAAAACTCTAGACATTAACTCTGAAAGAAAACTCTGAACATTAACTCTGAAACACAAGAATTCAGAGTTCTATTGTTAGGCTGGAAAATAACTTTGGACTTAACTCTGAATAAGAGGAATTCAAAGTTGTCTTCTAAGTCTAGAAAGTATCTATGAGCATAACTCTAAGTCACAAAAATTCTGACTTCTTATAACTCAGAAACGTAACTATGAAGAGGAGTTCAAAGTTGTATTCTAAGTCTGAGAATAAACTATAGAACTAAGTTTGGAACAGAACAATTCAGAGTTATGTTGTAAGTCTGAGAAATAACCAATATCTGATAACTTCATGTTAGTATTTGTATTACTATTGTCATTTAAGTGTAATGAGATTAATTTGTTGACCAATGTAATCATGATAAATATTGAACAAGTAAGGAAGGTGCGGAGTGCACACTTGTTTGAGTTTATTTTGATTTAAGGGCAAAGCCCCTAAATGACGGGGGTCTGAGGGCAGCGCCCCCTGTGGCGGGGTCCAAGGGGCAGAGCCCCTGGCTAGGGTCGAGCTGCCACGTCAGTTTGGATTTTTTTCCCCGGGTAATATTGCTTTGTGAAAAATGCTTCAAAAATCCGAATTTGAAATTTTAAACCCGGTTTTGATGACCACTCCAGAGTTAAATTCAGACTTACAACTCTGAATTTTTCGGGAGTTATATTGTAAGTCTGGAGACCACTTCAAAGTTAAATTCAGATTTATAACTCTGCTTTCCTCAGACTTTCATATTTGTATGTCTCACAAGTCTGAAAGATAACTCTGAATTTTAACTGAAGAAAAGGAGTTCAGACTTGTCCTCAGACTTTTATACTGGTATGCCTTATAAGTCTGGCAGACAACTCTGAATTTTAACTGAGGAAAATGAGTTCAGACTTATAAGTCTGGGGAATGGAAATTCAGACTTTTGCTTATTTAAGTATTTGAAAAGAAATTCTTTTTCATACGGAAATCAGTTATGTTTACAGGGATATATGTCAATTAAATAGGTCCATTTGAACATTAATGTAAATTGTGTCTACATACATGTTCAGCGTTCAGACTTGTAAGTCTGGAAAAGAAGCCTTCAGCTTTAGAAACTATAGAAATCATATCAGAGTTTTCTAATTAGTTTGGGAAATCAGTTAAACGACGAAAACAGGAAAATAAACGTGTAGAGGGACAAATGTCACTTAAATAGACCTATTTGAACCTTGTGTCTAGATACATGTTTAAGCAAAAAAAAATCAATAATCGTCGTACAGAAACATGACACATGTCCCCAAAGTTACTTATTTATTAAGTGTATAGATCAGTACGAAAGATTTCGTTAAAAAACAGAAAAATTTAACCATCCCCTAAACCAAACCTAAGTTTTTGTTGATTTTGAGTGGTTATAACCAGGTGACCCCTCCATCACCATTTCCTTCCCACCCTTAAACCCTCCCTCCCCACTATCCCCTATTTTTCTAAGCCTTCAACTACACACACATGCCTACACCTTTCATTAAACTCCATTTTTTCTCTTATCTTTTCTCGATTAACTCCACCAAATTCTTGTAAAAAACAATTATTAACCCCTTGCCTGCAAAAATCAAAATGAAGCAAAATAAAGTCCCATTTTCAAAGTAAATTTCATACAGAAAGATGAAAGCTTGACTTAGGTCTTGTTTTTTTTTTATAAAAAGTTTTTATCAGTCTCTTATGTCTGAATCGTTAAGAAGTAAAACTATTCAGACTGTTTGTTTTTTTTCAATTTTCCAGATGCACTTATGTCTTATTGTTTTCTTATTTGGTAAGAGGTAAACCAACTTCTTATTGTTCTCTTATCTAGTAAGAGGTTGAAACCAACCTCTTATTGTTCTTCAAACCCTCAACAACGACATTTCTCTATTAATTAACCTTAATCGATTATTTCTCTTAATCAATCCTTACCATATCAATCCTCATGTCACTTAATTGATATATTCTAATAAGATTTAAATGTGTTAAATACGTTAATGACATATTTTCATTTAAATGAATGCTAATTATATAATTTATATGTAAATTTCGTAACGATAATGAATAAATATGTGAAACTGTATAAATTTTATTTATAAATTCAACAATATAATTTTTCAATGGGTAAAATAAACAATTTCAACAAATTTAGACGATTAGCAGTTTACGAAAACAAACAATCTTATTAATTCATATTTCAGACTTCAACACCACCTCTTATAAGAGCATCTCCAATCGAACGACAAAACCTTATATTTGTCGTTTTCTTTGAACCAATCGAACCGCAAAATCACCATCCCTTTGCTGGAGGGTAGTGAATTTGAACGGCAAAAATGTCGTGCAGGATTTGGACGCCAAAAAGGTGGTCCCCACCACTATTCTTTTTAATCCATTTTTTTGATAAATTATAAATAAATAATTACAAATATTTACTTTTTGGTTTTTATATTTATTATGTAAATTTATATGTGTATATAATAAATTATTGATAACACAAATATGATACCGGATAAACGTAAACGTAATTTATTAATGGAAATTTTAAAAACTAAAATACATAAATTAAAGGGTCCACTGGTTTCCGCTAGCTATATAGTCACTAAAGCTTTGAAGCGATTTTGTCGTGGCATTGTGGAGGTGTTTGGAGACCGCTATCTCCAAACACCCAATGCTAATGATGTGACACGACTACTCCAAGTTGGAGAACAACCAGACCCGTTCCTGACATTTTTTAGGCCCTGGACGAACGTAAAAACATGGCCCACAGCAAGAGTCAACAAAAACAATTAAAACAAGGTAACCAAATAGCAATAGTCAATAGAAACAAAATCGATAAAAATATCCAACAAAAATATATAGCAATAGCAAGCACATGATCTTAAAGTTGAATTGTTGAAGCACAAAAACAGTCAAGCATATAGAAATAACAATAGCCAATATCATTGGACCTTATTGGAGATAAGAAAAAATTATAGAGGCAATAAACAATAGCATATAATAAATGACCAATTAATTTTTTTATTTTCTTTTCGAATGTAATTAGTTGATATATTTTTGTGCCCTTATTATCTACTAAATTCTTTTTGCTCCTTATTATATGCTACAACTTTTTGGGTTTTTTTTAAATTTATTAAATTCTTTTAGACTACTATTGTATTTTAAGGGGAAAATTTGGGCCCCTTGATATTTTTGGGCCCTGAGCATGCGCCCTTGTCGCCCTCCCCCAGGGATGGCCCTGAGAACAACGAGGTTTTCCATAAATGTTAGGTAGTCTAGATTGTATGCATTGGAAATGGAAGAATTGTCCAACTAGTTGGGGAGAACAATATTTCGGTCGTAGTAGATCTCCAAGTATTATTTTGGAAGCTGTAGCTGACTATGATCTTTGGATATGACATGCATTTTTTGGTTCACTGGGTCCAACAATGACATTAATGTGTTGGAGTCCTCCCATCTTTTTCCAAATCTTGCAGCAGGTAATGCTCCTCCTGTTAATTATGTCATCAAAGAAAAATCATATAATATGAGTTATTATTTAGCTGATGACATATATCCAAAATGAGTCACTCTTGTTCAATCTATTAATGATCCACGTGACCCTAAAAAACAATATTTTGCAAAGAAACAAGAAGCATGTAGAAAAGACGTAGAACGTGCATTTGGCGTATTGCAATCAAGGTTTGCAATAGTAGCAGGACCTGCACGGTTATGGAGGAAGGAAATATTGCATAATATAATGACTTCGTGGATCATTATGCATAATATGATCATAGAAGATGAACGTGATATTAATGTACCAATTGAAGAACGAAGTGAAGTGCAAGACGTGAGAGTTGAGATGATGAACGATAACAGTGGTGGACTTGAACAGTTTCTTGCTCGACACAAAAAGATCAAGGATAAAGATGCTCACTTTGAACTTCATAATGCATTAATTGATCATTTGTGGGACGAGTATACTAACTCGGAGAATTAATATTATTTATGTGTTTTTTTAATTTGTGCTATTTGAACTAATGTAATCTTTTTTAATATACAATTTATTAATTAAAAGTTTATCATTTTTATTTTAACGTTTGTTCAGTAAATAAATTAATTACTAATTATTTATTACAAATTATAATTATTGTTATTTAAAATAGTAAATAAAATATGTCATTTTAATGTGGGGTCCATAAATTTAATGTCTTTTTTAGAATGTGATTAAAGTTAAGTTTTTTTTTTTAATATTTATGAACCCACCATATTTAATGTTTTTAATATTTTTTTTATATGGTTGAAGTTGCTCTAAGTAAAAAATAACATAAAACTTTAAATTTCAACGACTTCTAAGAAAAAAACAAATCCACATCTTACTTTCAAAAATTTCACTCCACCTCAGCTCATATACCAAATTTGAAGTTTACTATAAATATTTTATTACGAGGAGTATAACAACAAAAAGGTGATCGGTAGAACATGGATATCACCGGTAATGAAACAAAAATGGTTTTTGAAAAAGGAAAGCTCTCCTTACGAGGCAAGAGGTGACCTAATTACCGTTGTGTAAATAACTGGGTATTTTTCACGGAAAATCATCCAACCAGCAGAAACATATTTCTTTCATCAACAACTTCACGGGACACACCATTGAATCTAGGGTTTTGCGATTATCAGATATACCGACAAAAATGGAAGGTCCGATCAACGGAGGAATGTTGTACCACGAGGTACAAGAGTCGAAGCTGTGTGCCGTCCATTGCGTCAACACGGTGTTGCAGGGACCTTTCTTCTCCGAGTTCGATTTGGCTGCTCTTGCCTCCGATCTTGATCGGAGGGAGCATCAGATGATGCTTGAAGGTCCTGCTGCTTCAGGAGGAGATGCTTTCTTGTCTGAGGAGTCGTATAATGTCTCTATGGATGGCGATTTCAGTATCCAGGTAAGTTTAATTCCGGGATTCTTTTGTTTTTTCCCTCATCGTTTAACCGGAGATAAGATTAGTATATATTCTCGTTTATACTTCAATTGATGGGTCTTGCGTTGCTTCCTGATAGGCAATTATCGTTTGCGAAAGACATGGATGTTAATATTAAGTGATTTCAAAATCAAACACATGTATAACATATGGTTAGCTTATTGGGGAAAACGGTTCAATTTCTATTCTGTAGGTTGTTCACTTAAGGTTACGTGTTACAAGTTTGCTTGGTCTATCTAGTTCTTTCTTCATTCATGTGTTCATGTCTAATGTCAACGTGAACCAAGTTTGAGAAATCATCAAAACTTCAAAGTACATAAGTGCATTTTCATTTCATCCCTCAAAAAACCGTGGATATGTCAAACAAGAGACTAGACTTTGTTTGCTTCTCGTAATCCTAAAATAGCCGAATAGATATGACTGACGACTTTTGAGTGTGCATACTGTTATGGTCCTTGTTTATATGTCCACAGGCAGATTGTTATTATGAAATCTAAATACAGAGAGAACAAGATATGAATACAAGAGACATGCATGATGTATAGCATCGATCGATCAAAGAACATAGAAATTTCGGAATGCACATACGTACATCACCAAACGAGAAGATGGAAATGGAAAAAGGAAATATTTTATGATGGAAAATAATTGTACCAAGCAGGAAAGGGGGTTGAATACGTTGCTTCAAAAGTTTCTGGAATATATTGGAACTTATTTGTGGAAAAAAATTATTACAATTAAGTCCTCAATATAAAAGATGATGATACACAAGTAGCGCTGAAATAATGAAATTTATAGTAATGCAGATCTCTTTTCACCTACTGTCCTACATCCACTCTCTAGACTCTTCTCGAAATTTAGAGTCCACTAACCGAATGCTCTTTACAATGAAGTGAAATCATTACAAATGGATTGATGCTTCACATAATGGCTTACAAATCAGGAAAGTTGCCAGATACCAATATTTGTGCACCGGGGACAAGTTACCAGACCTGTCAATAAGTTATCAAAGCTTTGTTTACGAAGGAACATTATAGTTTAAACAAATTGTGCCTCCCTTAAAGTGTATGGATAGCGGTTAATGGATGTTCCAAAGCGCTAAAAGATGATAGCAGTTTCACACAGGAGTTGTGAGTTGAAAGAGTGTGGAAGTGGCCCAAGATGTTGTACCTTGAGTAGTAAAAGTCATTTGGCTAAATAGGCAAATGAATGCCCTTTTCTAAGTTGGACTTCTGTATCGATGCATCAAAAGGGTGTTTGAAAAATTTGACAATAACAGATGCATGTTCTCATGGACTAGATGCCCGTTTTTAATTGTTCCTGCTTTTGGTATCCTTTTGTGTTGCAAGTTTTCTTTATAGCAACTTTGTATTTAACATTGTATGTTCTTAAGTGTAATTTGTAGGATGCACTTAACATATAAAAGATATAAAACTTAACATGTAAAGCTTGACAAGTTTTTATCCGATTGGTATGATCATCGAGGTTAATTTTTCTTGGTCAAAGCTTCATGATCTTTTGATCTTTTTTTTGAGTTATAAAATTGAGAACAAGACGAGTTAAAAATGTTAGTGGACTTTAAGGGCTATGTTGTTCTGGCGGTCAAAATATGAAATTGCTGTCAGGACATTGATTTGAAATAGCAGCTATTGCTATGGTAAAGTGGTGGTATAGCTGTCCAAAAAGAACCACTAATATAATAAATAGAAGCATACATACATATATATATATATACATACATACATATATATATATATACATATATATATATATGTATGTATGTGTAGTTGTGTACATAACTTAATAGCATGTTGGACTATAGTTGTGATTGAAATACTAATATGTAGGTTTGGGCAGCTAAATACGTGCTCCTTACGTTAAAAAAGAAATAAAAGTCTTTCTTGAATGTCAAACAAACTAAACAACGTTGATATGTATGAACAAAAATTGTGAAGTGAAGAGCTTGAAGTTGTAAAAAGAATCTTAACCTAAAGGTTAAAATTGTGACTCTTGAACACAATCAAAGAAAAGAAGTGACGCGATTGAGGGTAGATACATGATTGGTCGCTTGGTTTAAAAATGCGCTCATAATGCGCTGTGATGCGTGATGTGTTGTGATGCGCTGAAGAAAACGCATCAAAGGGTCTGATGCGTTGCGATTCCATGATGCGCTCGCATCACCTACGCATCACAAGATGCATGCATCACAAGATGCGTGCATCACTTATGCATCAACGCATCATGTATGTTGCATTTTTGGGCTCCCTTTTTCAGTTTTTAGTTCGGCTTTTTAGTTGGGCTTCTTAGTTAAGTAAAGTAGAACGTGAGACTATGAGAGACCTAATAGAAGAAGCCGACAGTGAAGAAGTAGAAGTCGCACTGTGAGAGATCTAGCATCGCATATCAATTAAAACGTGACGTGAGTTGTTGTCGATACTCGACAACCAACAAAGAAGTAGAAAACGAACTTTTTAAGATTCTAATGCTACTTTTTTAACTACTTTATGTTATAAATGAAGTATTTTGATAAGGAAGTATTTTTAAGGTAGAAATTGATATGTAGAATTAATTTATAATTTTTTTTGAATACTGGGCGCATCACGTGCGTGATGCGAGCGCATCAGCATCACGCATCGGCTTCCGGGACCCTTAACGCATCGGACCGCATCGTGCTTTTTAAAACCAAGATTGGTCGTGAGAGTAGATATATGATTGAGGGATAAGAGATGTGAATTGAAGTGGTACATCTTAATTGTCTTATTTTATTGAGAGAGAATCACATGGAGAGACGTTGATTGATTGTGATTACTGATTTGTGAACACTGAACATAAATCTTAACCTAAACCTAAAAGAGGGAGCAGAAAAAGAGCCTAATAATTTGAGCTCAACACTAAATGGCCGAACTAAAGTAAAAAACCAAGCACAACAAAATTGTGGCTTTACCACTGCTATGGTGTTAGAGTCATTAAAAAATGCCAAAAGCGTCGAATCTTGATGGTTGAATACCTTGCAGCTTTCGAGAGGCTGCACTCTCCCTATTTAATTGCAGAGAATTGAGTTATTGAATCGATAGATATTTCAAAGAAGTAAACAATGAAGGTATTTAAATTAATAAGTAAAAGATTCCTAAAATAAAGCAAATAGAAAGTTCTAAAGCAAAACAGATAAGGAAATATAATTATCTAAAGATAGTTACCTAGAAATTTGTGGACCCTTGACACGTATCTCTTTTAACTTTTATTATGGTTTATCTTTTTATTATAATTTAGAATATGAAGTCCATCAACACTTCACAATCTTCCCAGGAGGAAATACAATCTTCAACACTTCACAATCTTCCCAGAAGGAAATACAATCTTCAACACTTCACAATCTTCCCAGGAGGAAATTTTATTATCATTTAGAATATGAAGCCATCAATACCTCAAGATGAAAAGAAGGAAATTTTATCTTCAACACTTCACAATCTTCCCAGGAGGCTTCAAATACAGGTAAATTCTTCCACAACTTCAATTCCTTGCATACTTAGCTTCACCTTTTGACGTACCTCCGTCCCTTCATGGCTTCTTCGACTCCCATTGAGATACCATATTCTTCTATGATCCTTGTATCTAGATTGAGCTTTTCAACCGACAATGTGGCTTTAAAATTGTGGGAAGCCCTTTTTCAATCAAACAACTACCCTTTGACCGCCCTCCTCTCCTAATTTTGTAGTCTTTGGTGTGACAGTCCTACTATGCATTCAATGTGACTTCTACTTCTTTTTGCATCTCTATTCCCGCCAATTCCGTCATCTCTCCCATCTCCGTATCTTCATCGATGTTGTACTCCTCTGCTTCTTGAACCACCAACACACTTAACTCCTTTTTGCATCAGTGACCTGGAGATTACTTGACATTACACTTGTAACGTAAATCTTGAGCCTTATGCTGTTCAAGTTCTTGATAGGAAAAATCTTCTAAGTCCCCTACAGTTCGTCTTTCCCTGTCCACTACCCTTGTTGGTTCAACTACTCCCTTATTTCCCACATATCGTTCTCCATTACCTTGAACTACCCTTTTTGCATTCATTCGTGCTAAAATGTTGTTCTTTTATTTTGTCTTTTGAACTAGTTTCATGGCCTTTCCCAATCCCTTTGGTGTTAAGGTGCGGGTTTTTGCCCTGATTTATGGACTTAACCCAGTTAAAGAATTGACTCACAACAACTTCATCTGAAATCCCTTCTAATGGTGCTGCCAACGTAACAAACCTCCTTTTCTATTCCACCACTGTACCTTCTTGCTTAACGGCTAAGAATTGCTCACATAGCGATCCTTCCCTGTTGGTTTGATGAAGCATTAACGTTTTTAATTCTTCCCACAGCCTAATGGGTCCCTCTTATTCTCCCACTAGAACCACATCAAGGGTTGCCCTCAAATAAAATAACCGAGACTTCTAGTTATTCTTCATTCTTTAGTTTATTAAGAGCGAAACATCTTTCAGCCCTCAGTGTCCAACCGTCCGAATCTGTCTCTTCGAACACAGTAACTCTAGTTTCCCCCCCCCCCTTATCGCAAGAAATCGATGAGTATCATTGGTTTTGTCTCGCGATTGTCCAACCTTTTTGGAAGTCTGTTGTTTTCGCTTTCGTCCCCACCACCTGTCTAGCCATTCTTCTTGCATTAGCAACATTGTTTCCATTTGTTTCATCACCTTCGGCATCTCATCTTTTCAGTGAGTTCACCTCCATTTGGATTGTTCCCAAGCTTCCCTCCACCCCTTCGGCCCTCAGTGTTACTGACAGAGTAATGATTAGCTTGAACAATAATCCCTTGAATAATGATCGCTTGAATAGTAATCATGTGAACGATTCGTGAATACTAATCCTAAACATCCGTAGTAGGCTCTAATACCAATTTGTTAAGAGTAGTAAAAAGATGCTAAAAGAGTCGAATCTCAATGGTTGAATACTTGCAACTTTCAA